AATAAAAACGGCCCTTAGGTTTAATAAGGTATTTTGTACACAAAGATTGAAGAATAAATATATTGTCTGATGGAGAATAGTTGGGTCTAAATCCAGCTTGGGATTCCGATAACAGGTCATTCACATCTAACCATGTTCTTATACTTTTTTCAATTACAACAGAAAACATTTTGCCAGTCACATTTAAGAGAGAAATAGTTGTTGCTTGGATCAGATATGTTTCCAGATTTATGTAGAGAAATAATCATTCCTATATTCCAGGAATCTGGAAAAACACCAGTATCTAGAATTTTATTTAAAAGTTGCCTGAGATAAGTGTTTATGAAATTTGTTATACTTTTCAGATATTCAGGGGGTATACCATCCTCACCAGCTGCTTTATCCACTTTTAACTCATTTAAAGCTTGTTTAATTTAATTTTCAGTAATTTCACCTGATAAGAACTGGTCAGTAAAAGGCATATCATTACAATGTTGACATGAATGGGAATCTACAAATTCCTGAACTGATTTATCAAATTCATTCACATCTCTGTTAAAAGCTGGATTTAATAAATCCTTAAAATATCTAAACCAAGTGTCAGGGGTTATATCAACTTGTCGTGCGTTACTTCTCAAATAGTGCTTTATAGTCTTCCAGAACTCTTTACAATCACCCATATTTGCAGCCTCGGTTAATTTCTGACTCATATGCATTTTCTACTCATTTTGTTTAGTTTTACACTTCTTTCTGAATTCAGTTTTTGCACATAAATAGTCTTTTAAGTTTGAGTCACTCTTGAATGATCTGAAACGATTTAGTAGCATGCATTTCTTAGATTTAAGTTGACAGCACTCTGCATCAAACCATAACGGTTGCTCTTCAGGGGGTTTTTTTCTAGACCATCTGCAGACTGCCACCGCCTTTTCCCCACACTAGATAAGTATATCAGCTAATTTCATAACTGCAGCGTTTATGTCAGTTTGCAAAACGGAAATAAAATCGTCAAACATTCGACTGCTTTCTCTGCTAAAAACATATTCTTGATATGCTGGTATTCTGTCTATAGGAAGCCTATATTTAGGAACAGGAGTGAGGGTAATACCAACAGTGTAGCTTGCTTACTTTGTAACTCTGACGTGAAGACATGTTCCATACTACATAGAATCGACAAGTGGTCAGACTCGGTTCTTTTAAAAAACACCAAATCAATAACCCTAGCGAAAACCTCAGATGATACAATAAAGTAGTCAACAGTACTACACCCAGTATGGGAGACAAAAGTAAAATCTCCATTTCTATCAGATGTAGTGGATGTAAATACAGCTAAACATATTTGTGAAACATGGAGAAGATATCTGGACGACAGTTTTATTATTTGGTTCTAAACAGTGAAAGAGTTTCCGGAAGATTCTGGATCCGATCCATTCTCTATGGAATGTGACCACAATGAGATTTCATTTATTGACGTGAAAGTTATTGAGCAGGGCGTCCAATTGAAAACAGATATATACCACAAGCCGACGGACATGCATCAATACCTACAATTCAATTCATGTCATGCGCGGCACAATCAAATTGATATTCCATATTCGATGGCAAGAAGAGTGTGTACTATTGTTTCGGATGTGGACACAAGAAACCGAGGATTAGAAGAATTAAGACATATCACCAACTACAAGGATATCCATGTGGCGTGGTTAAAGACGCTGTAAATAAAGCAATGAAAATTCCACGAGAAACATTAATGAAAACAAAAGAAACAGATACAGACACGGACATTCTTCCATTTGTGTGTACCTACAATCCTAGAAACTGTAACATTATGCCCTTTATAAAAGCCAATATTCCAATTTTACAGCAAAGTAAAACTATGAAAACATGTTTATCTAAGTGTAAACTTATAGGCAGTACTAGACAGCCTAAAAATCTCCAAGTTATAGTTTAAGTTCTCTGTATTGGAGAAACTGGAATGCAACTAAAAGACCGAATCCCTCTACACAGACAACAAATTCTAGATCCAAATGTACGTTGTATAAATGTAAGCAAATACATTGATGAATGCGGGAGTGGTCATTATACTGTCTTTCCACTTTATAAATTATATATATGTATATATATGCATTTACTTAAGAATTGAACGTCAGTTTGGATGGGTTCATTGAAGTGTGAACGATTTAATAGCGGTGGTTAAACTGTGTGAACCCCCGGGCTTCTTATTATTTCATACTCTGTAGTTTACTAGTCTCGCCGAATAATATCGTAATAATGTTTGCTTAAATTTGAAGTCCTCTGGTTTCGCCGAAGAACATTGCAACAATGTTATTTTGCCGGTATTTCCTGGCTCTCGGTCACATACGTTTCCCCAAATTTACAAACAATATTTGGGATAAATCAAATCTTAAAAATGGGTTACAGGAAGGTGAACAAAAATATAAACATTGCCTCGATGCACCGAGGCGAGATCAACCTTCAAGTGCGGATTTATATATATGACATCACATAAGTTTGTAAAGAGGAGCATTTCGAGTCGAGCGGGAGCATATGGATGAAATTTATACTTAATGCTGTTGAAAATGACGTTTATGGGGCAGTTATGGAAAACACCCCGGCGCGTGAACCCTCTCATAGCACTAGCAAATTGGGAATATTACCGATTTATGAATGTGTTGCTTGTGTTTGGATAATCGCAGTGGTGGGGATTGAACCGAGTGCTCTGAAACTTATGTGTTTTGTGTACATTTTCAATGTCAGAGTGTGTTATATTTGGAGTTTGGGATTTGTCGCGTGTGCTGTAATATTTTGCCTAGCTGGTGTTTCTTGCCACCTGAGATGGACCTACTGTATGACCAGCTTCATTTCTGGGCCCGTCACTCCTCGTGTGCCGCCGGTTCTCGGCCTAGAATGCACGGAGAAGGTCGGCCAACTCAGAAACCGGAATAGTATATTTCTAATTTCGTCTGCGGATATTTTCTCGTCTCCGTTGACCAATCGGTTAAACAGGCAAGTGTTTGGGGGTTTTTTAAATTTATGTTGGTGTTTTATGGTTTCTCAAAAGCTTAGATTTTTTCCCCGATGCGATAGTGAATCAGGTTTTAGTTTGCGATTGATCAGAAGCAGTCTTTGCTCTGTGTCAGCGGCTACATCTGAGCAGGGTACTACATTGTTTTCATTGTTGCTAGATTCCTGTCATTTCCGAAAACAAGGCGTGTTCATTGACAACGGGATAATGAATGATTATATGTGTGGAATAATGATATCAATTGTAGTTATTTTCACTCAAAGACGACCATATATCGATCACTTGATGACAGCGTTTATTCAGTAATATTTTTTTAATTTGAAGTTTACACGATATACGGCTTTTCCATTGGACGAGAGGACGGTCACATGACCTCGAAATTGACGTTCATAAGTGTATGAACGACACAATTTGACGTTCATACGTTTTTCACGAGACCGTGTTCTTGAAATGACGTCAACACTGACGGACTACTTCCACATTCCTGGGGAAACCCCTGGGAATTCCCCAGCACGAAAACATACATAAGTGTTCTATATGATCATTTAGAACCTTTATTCTTGGTCTCAGCGTTTCAGTATACATTGAGGCCAGTTGATCAATGATGACTAACACATGTAACCGCCACAGGTTCATTAACAACTTCGGAAATCTCTCCCGTCACGTTTATCGTGTCAGCCATTTTGACGTCTTGTACTTGTTGTAAATGTATTACGACGCGCTGTCATTGTGACTGACTTAATGAGGTAGTTCTTTACAGAACTTTCTCATCTAATGAGGATATGATTTGAAGACATGTGCTGCGTAAGATGTTTCTGAAGAGCAAGTTGTACATCCATACGCTCATGCCACTTCTCTTTTTGAGGAACTATTTTACTCCGCGATATAGCTGGTTGTTGTATGGCTCTCATTGTAAACATGAAGTCGGATTACGGGATAATCTGTTTTTCTTTATATGGCAAACATGGTTGTCCAAATATGTAAGAACCATGCCCGATCTATCCACCCGCATATGTCAACTATTAATACAATCATTGCTTCGTTGAGTAACCTACATGTGCATCTGAATCCCTCTATAGCACGTTCAGTGCTTTCAATGTATTTAATGTATCTTTTATATTTTATGTTTGTTTCATATATATATATATATATATATATATATATATATATATATATATATATATATTCGCGTATTGGAAACATGATCTGTGACAATATGAAGAATAAACATATAAAGAATAAACTACATTGTATATACACGTATAGCAAACACTGTCTGCGACAATGTGAACTATCTGCGTTTGTAGGAAGCACTGAAAGCGATAGTGGGAAGTATATACATGTACATCTATAGAAAGCACTGTCTGGAATAATGTGAACTATTTGCGTGTGTTGTTAGCACTGACGGCGAAATGGGAAGTGTAATACGTGTATAGGAAGCACTGTCTGGGACAATGTGAGCTATATACCTGTATCGGAAGTACTGTATGGGACAATGTGATCTATACACATACAGGAGGCACTGCTCGGTTAGAAACAATATGTATCTAGAACCTGGACACTATGCCATGATACCAAACATTAACACAAATGTGAAACGTATCAATGTGCCAATCAGCCAACCAAACGGTAGATGAATGCGCGAAACCAAGAAATTAACAGATCATGAATCAGAAATACAAAAGAGAACGTGTTTATTACAAAACGGTTGTAAAATTAACAAATACAATTGAATGTGATATATGATAGAATACAAGTATTGTTCAATATTGTTTCTATTGAACTTTATATATAAATTTTCAATTTTTTAAGTTGGTTCGTTGGTTGGTTTGTTGTTTAACGCCGCAATCAGCAATATTCCAGCTATATGAAGGCGGTCTGTAAATAATCGAGTCTGGACCAGACAATCCAGTGATTGATATCATGAGCATCGATCCACGCAATTGACATCGATGACATGCATCAACCAAGTCAGCGAGCCTGACCACCCGATCCCGTTAGTCGCCTTTCACGACGAGCATAGTCACCATTTACGGCAAGCATGGGTTGCTGAAGACCTATTCTACCCCGGAATCTTCACGGGTCTAAATTTTTAAGCACGACATCAACAATATATTATACAATATCATACAATGACAAAGAATAAAATACACCTCCTTCATAGATCTATGAAATTGTGCAAGTCAAACATGTAGAATATGTTTATGCCCCTGACAAATATATTATACAATGCCATAAACATACACTGCCAATATTAATGCAACTTGTATACTGTGATTAAACGCTTTGATGGTGTGACTGATGGATTCACACACTTAATTAGTTACCAATTTGTTTTGTTCTCATAAAGTGTAGGCATTATAATCAGGTATAATGTTAACTGACATTTCATTTAATAATTCCAGCATTATTAGTGAAATGCCATACCTAAATGTTCTGGCATTACATATTTACTATGAAGACAACTGAACAAAAATGTCAAAAATGTAATGTATTCTGTGATTTATGCATCTTACAAACCACGACCAGTAGTGTGGGATATACGTGTTGGAACACCTCACACGCAAAAAATCTTATGTTTCAAGTAATCGGGTTCATTGTTGAACCTAAGGGCAGGCCAAGCAACTTCTCATCTCCGCCATTTGGTTAAATCGATTGTTGGAAGATCGTTGCAGGGTATCATGGGATTGCTGTAAAATACAAAAATTATGTCATCCTATTAAGATAGCAACATTTCCGTCAGCATACTTCATGTGATCAGGTTTGACATTCGTATCCTATATAACTGAATGAGCCTGAATATGTTACATTCAAAGTGTGTCACGAGGTGTAAATGGATCCAGGATACAATTCTGATCAATGTTCACTAAATGAAGTACGCCAGATATACCCTGTCGCATGTTAATATGAGTTCCGTCTGTGTGAAATTTTTAATTACTGACAAATGATGAAGCTAGATGTCTTCATTGCCTACCTTTCTTTTGAGTACACTGTAAAAGGATCTCTTTGGATGGACTTCACTCCTGAATTCCTACAAAGAATTTTAGCAAAGCGCATTCGTCGGATCTCAGACAGTTGTCCTGAAATAGAAAATGCCATTATTATTTATATGTACAATCACTTCGGAGAACAAGAGAGTATCTTTCCACACTATTGTCAGTGAAACAGCAAAACATTTTGATGAATTGAATGAAACGTCACACAAACAAAATTGTATAGCGTTTTCATCTTAAAGGTATGTTAGGTTATCTAATAAGTACATATTTTGACATAACACAAATATGTTAACAAACCATACAAGCACGCAGAAATACAAACAGATTTGACAGTACCTGATGTAAAGCCCTTTCTTGGATGAGATGTTTCGAACCAGAATGAGTCGCCATATTTCAGATCATGAAACTGTTGACCAATCAGACAAGCGAGGAGTGGGCCCACTGCACCGCCATGCAAGTGTTGTTCAGCTACTGCACCGGTAAATATGTCGATGTCATCAGGGAAACTGAAGCAAGAATACACATATGTAAGGAGATCTTGAGAAATGTCAGAGAAGAGTTAAACTATCTTTATTTTTTAAATTTGTTACACTAATTCTGTTCACATATAAGAGTAAATTAGATAAGACAAACCTGTATACACTTTTCAAAGCAGGTCCTGCTTTACCAAATACACTGTCATCAAATGAAGTCACTTCCGATAGCTGGCATGCCTTGCGGAAGTTGTTGTATGATGGCAGGCCATGGTCACGACCTCTCTGAATGTTTAAGGACACGATGTCAAAGCCGTTATTGCCCGACGTCTCAAACAAATGCTCAGTCATCCCACTGTTGATGAAGCGGTTAACCTCCTGATGTCTGTCCTTGAGGATAGCCTTCAGCACGGTGTCCAGATCTTTGATGACTTCAGAAGGTCTGTTGAAGAGCTGTTCTATTGGTACATGTCGATCTCCGAGGGTCAGGAAACGTGGAATGGTGGAGTGGCCGTATCTGAAGGCGGCGGTGGCGAAAACGTTGTAGATGGTGGGGTTTTGGGTGATGTTGTACCTGAAGCTAAAGCCAGGGGTCAGTCTGTACTTCCTCATGGCCAAGGGCCCAACAATAATGGGCAACCATTCGCGGTAGGTGACTTGTTGGATGATGGCTGACACGATCTTTCTGGCCTCCTCAAACAAGACATCATCAGGAGTGGTCGATGGCATGACATCAGCAAGTTCTTTGACAAGACGGTTGTGTTCTCGGACAAACACGGTGTGTAGCACGGCCAGACCAGGGAACACGTTCACACGGTCGTCACCTGATGATAAAGTTAGTTATAAAGAAGTTGTGACAATGTTGTGAAATGAATTATCCATATCATTTCAAATTGTACCAAATAGTCATGTGTGAAGTACTTTATGAACAGACTCTGAAAATATTACTTTGAATACATTAATAAGTTGTATTTACCAGCTTCAAAACACCATTCGTTGGTATTGCTTGTTCGACAGTTGCCTTGGTTGGATTCTGGCAACAGGTTATCTCCCTTGATTTTTAAGTAGGCTGAAAAGTTGAATGACGACATTTATTTGTATGTAAAAATTACTCTCGGGGGTATGCTGTCAAAATGTAACATATTTCTTTTATCACAAATTATAATTCATTGCTAAATATTGCCTGACTTACGTCCGTTCCTGAGGTGATTGATCTGATCCTGACTGAGGCCGTACACGTTAGAGGCGTCCACGAAGGACGTCAGTAGGTTCAACTGTTCCCGGGTATCTGGAAGTGACATGGTTTTCAATTAAACATGGGTATTATCATACAGTGCTGTTTATGGCTTCGTTACTCAATACGTTGTGTTAAAAAGAACAGATAGAAAATGACTGAACAACCCAATATTGAGATGAGGTAACCTTCACAGCTTAGTATTCATATACTCACTCCTTCCAGGTGCTGGGGCTGATCTTTTGAACTCCATGCAGTTCTTTTGGAAATGTCCTTCATTTACTGGCATGGTGATCGGGAAACAAGGGCCGCTGGAACAGCGAAATAGCAAAAGAATTAACATGTTTCCTTGTTCCAATCAAACATTGTTATGATAATGCTTGTGATATGTTATGATGCACAAGCACATGTATGTGATGTACTCGGGATTTTACAGAAGAGGTTTATGGTGATGGAAAGGCTTTTGTCTCTTTCATCCTAATTGTAATAATGTCTACAATGTCACGTAATTTCAAAGTCTGTTCTTCATTCTAAATATGACGACCAGTAATTTCGATTAACCGAAACAGAATGATTAAGTGTGGAAAATATAGAATGTTGATTGCTTACCCAGCTTGTACATCAGAATGCATCTCTCCTGTTGTGTGACCATCGCAACATTTGGAGTGAACATCACCTTGAAGGAATATGAGGATTTGTAAAGTTCACAGATGGATAGCTTAATGATGAAAATAGGTTCGAAAAATATGGATTACAAAAACAAATATATCACAGTTTGTCTGATTTCAACATCACACTTCTGGTCACTTTGATAATCAGAGAGTTTTGGCCACTTGGCACCTACCTGCATGGAGAGGAGTTCCGGTGAGATCGTGGTCCACAAACTGCCCCCACTGCATCACCATCACTGTGTGGTCGTTAGAAGGACTGTCAACTCCCGGATGTACGGCCACACTGATGGCACGTGGACTGGGAAGGGGATAACCATCAACGCCTCTCATTCGGGGAACGAACTTGCCTGGAAAGCCAAACCTTTGCTTTAAAAGTTCCCTTGCGCATAGTTAGTTGTGATATTGAAAGGGCATAACTAAATGTCAATGGAATAATTACAAGACTTGCTATCAAACGGTCTGGTTTATTAATTAATTGCCATGGTTATTAGCATGAAATAATGATTTTTAAGTTCTTATATCAATTTGATATCAGAAGAAAACCTGCTCTTTACCATCATCATATGCAGGATCAATAAATCTCTTGAATGGTTGGTTGGTGGATCCCCAGGTTGGCCAGCGAGCATTGTTGCAACTTCCGTCCATTGTCCGGTAGCCTACGTCTTGTTTGCAGTCGATAGAGCGCCGTCTGAGAAAGTGAATGATGTTATCAAATCTGATGGTAATTGGTGTCGGTATCAACTAAATTAAACTCTCAACCACAAACGAAGGTGTCCATAGATGAGAATTAGTACGAAACTGACCTGATGGTGTGTTTGTCTTGATACTTGGATGTGCTGATGTCGTCTAAGGAGATCTGAGACGTCTCGGCGGCGTCAGCCAGTGTACAAACAACATACTTGTCTTCGTCATCACCTACGTCAAAGTAAAGGCATCAACACACTGTTTACTATCATGGGACAATTTCAGTGTCATTTAACTTCGGAATTCTTATCAAAGGTCCCAACATCTGAACTAGTTGATGTTATAAAGTGTATAATGATGTTTGAAGACGCGTATCAGCAAAATATTTGTTTCAAATAAATAGAGTTTGTAATCGGTGTGTCTCATATGCAATAAATCCTTTGAAGTATACACATATAAGTTATATTGTTTCAAAACAAAGTGAGTATCTAAAGCATGGTATAATGCTTCACAATATAATGAAAACTGGACTAAAGTAGCGACCAATTCAATGTATTTACTGACAATAAATACAGTATGATCAGATTTGTCAGTTAAACCAATCGCCAAATCATGGATAGTGATGCCGTTAATGTTGAACATTAAACTTCTTACCATGCAGGAATCTGAACATGATGTCCATTATTCTGATTTCTCTGTCCAGCGTTTGTCCTTTAACTGTTCCTTGGTTGTCACCCCACGTCGTTGGTGAAGTTTGTGTCGCACCAGCAACATAATCTAATAGGTAAGTAAGTAAGTTTGAACATCAGAATAGAGAAATAGGGCTGTCATAGATTATGAATGCAATCGAAAAAACATTCATACTCCGCCACCCTATATTTTCTTCTGTCTAGTTGTGTTAAACCGGATATGTGAAACAATCTGGCAGTATCAAACCAAGTTAAGAAGATTTCATGTGCATCGTTCAGGGTATATCCAAAACCATATTTACTCATCTTATGTCTGTATATCTCTTTCAATCTTAGAATTCAAGACAACGTTATTATCTCCAACCATCGTTACATCAAATGTGTATCTCGACTTGTAACAATGTACCCGGTGTGAACTTACTGTTCGTTTTGGACAAATCAGGGAATTTCTTGTTGGTCTCACGGTCCATTCCAAACAGATCTGATTGTATTGCCTGGACTGAAGGAAAGGTAGTTTACTTAAAAAGCTCAGCTAAACAAAATATAATATCTATACTTTAATGCATTCAAATTATATTTAGTAAAATTCATTTAAAAATTTACGTCACTACATTGAAGGACTAAGCATAATAGTTAGTAGAAAGTTCGCATGTTTAGAACTGATATCTCTTTATTTCAGCATGTAACATGATCCCAGTTGCGTGAGTTACACCCAAGCAGAAGGAACTAAAATAGTATTATTCGATCCTTCACTATTGCTTGTCAAGATTTATTTCATTATTTTTAAAAGACTATACTCACGTTGCTCAATGACGGAATTGATGTTGTTTACCTATAAGGAAATGAGTGAACATCGGTTAAATAATCGGTCTAGGTTAAAACAGATGTGATAATTTCAAACACCATTGGTCACCCATAAGTTTGAACATGATGAGAGAAAGCAGTTTTAGAACCATAAGTCCATAGTAAGAAATTACATAACATTTCTTATGTGAATTGATTTTCTACAGACATTCAGTAGCCAGATAAATACTAATACCGATAATGAGAAGAAGAATAAAAAGAAAAAGTAGAAGAAGAAGAACCCAAAAACAACCTACCTCTTTGTCCGCCTCTCCAGCAGTGACCACGGTCAACATACACACAAACAACACAACTTTCATCGTTTCTGCTTCTGTCCAGTACAAAGTTGGAATGTCTGATACACCAAAGATGGGACCGTGTATTTATACTCATATTCCTGGATTAAATCAACACAGATTACCCTTTAATTCACTCTCCCCTGGTGGGTATAATCCGACATCTACATGGGGGAACTAAACATTTTGGATTAAGTGGAGGCAGGCTGATTATCCCGGAGCAGCGTCATCACCTCCATTGTTCTTGGTGTGGTGTATAAACACCAATAACGAGGCAGTTGGTAAACTGCTTCTCATCAGAGGGTATTATTGACATGCATTGTTATGATTATATGTCATAGTAATGTAAAACTAAGAACTGAAACTGGAGAAAGTATAAGTTTCTTGTTAATTGACCTAAGAAACTAATAAAATAATTAATGTATCCAACAATCTCTAAGGAACATCTCCACAAAATATGTCACGTGACCCTTCCCTTCAGATATGTAGTTATTTTAGCTTGAACATCACAAGGATCTAATCAGTATATTCACTTTAACTTGCTACTGTAAATTTAATCGTTTTCATAATATACTTTGAGGACATATTTTCAATACACCATCTCTTTCTTATTCCGTAAGAGGCGACTAACAGGATCGGATGATCAGGCTCGCTGACATAATTGATGCATGTCATCGTTTCCCTTTTGCATAGATCGATGATCATAATGTCAATCACTGGATTGTCTGGTCTAGACTCGATTATTTACAGACTGCCGTCATATAGCTTGAATACTGCTCAGTGCGGTTAATTCATTTTTATTTTCACAGAGAAGTTTTCAAGTAGTAGTAGTAGTAGTAGTAGTAGTAGTAGTAGTAGTAGTAGTAGTAGTAGTAGTAGTTGTAGCAGAAGTAGTAGTAGTTGTTGTTGTTTTAGTTGCGATGTTGCAGTAGTGGTATCCAATATGATCAAAATGTCAATTACAGGAATGTCTGGCCTGGACACAAAACAACAAATCAAACAAGCAAATCTTTCAAATTCATTTTTATTCACACAGCTAAGTTTTCAAGTAGCAGTAGTAGTAGTAGTAGTAGTAGTAGTAGTAGTAGTAGTAGTAGTAGTAGTAGTAGTAGTAGTAGTAGTAGTAGTTTGTTGTTGTTTTAGTAGTGGTATCCAATACGTGTCTCAAGTATCACGTGCCCATGTTATCTGCCAAAGATTCGCTTATCCATACTCGATGAAACATACATACTGACTGTTGCATATATCAACGTTGACAACCAGTACTAACTTTCCAGAATTATTATTGAGATATGTGTGTACAACATAAAATGTACGACTGGACTTCGTGTTTATGAATAAGTGGAAAATTTACGATTACATTGAATTGTCAGTTACTATTAGCAATATCGATGATGGACAATTATTTTCAAAAGTTGACCCTGTATGTGTTATTTCATTACACGCGGGGACTAGAAAATCCTCCAGACACAAAACGTGGAAACTATTTCAATGTGTCCCAACACTTGTCTACAAAGCATGTCAAGAATAACTCCTGATGAGAAGCGAATTACCAATTGTCTCAGCATTATTATACCACTCAATTACAGTTGATGACGACACGCCCACATCAACACCATTCATTGATATAATCCCGGATTTGTTGTGAAAACAAGATGTAAACTTATCACGGAT